CTGTTTGAAGAGACAGAAACTCACAACGCCAAAAGATCTTTGGAACAAGATAAAGAGGATCTTCAAAGCCCAAAGAAGGTCAAGAGGCTTGAAAACGTGGATGTTGAAGCACAAGACTTGCAGGTGAGCCTTACCCCTCACTGTAAGGATACACCAACAGGGCTTTGGGTTAAGTTTTTGGGGTGTAAGTGGATCTGTTGGCAGTTTTCCTTGTTTTTCTTAACTGCTGGTTTGCTGTCATTTTCCCGTGTCGTTGCCTGCGTTTTTCATTGTTTTGCCAAAACAGAATAATCAGATTGATTATTCAACATTCCTGAACCAGGCAAAATGGGCAGAATAAGGCATTTGCCAGTTTTAAATCATTCTCTCCATAGTATCCTTTTAATTGTTTCTCAACTAAATGCTCTTAGTCCCCTGAACTAAACTATTTGCTAGTTTTGACTTAGGTACAGCGAGGCCTAAAGTAATTATCTATAACCCAAGCATGGCTGTTTAGTTTGAATTAATTTTGTTATAGACAGCACAAATTGCAGCTGAACCAAGAAAATCTGTGCAAAGACAGAACATCCATCTGACCTTAAAAATAACTTTGTAATCGTCAGTATAAAATATAAAGTTATAAAATATAAAGATCTAAAATGTGTGCAACAATCTGAATTGTGAAACAATTCTGAACATCAAGAAAGAACTACAATAAACCACTTAGATTGTTTCATATAACTGTATTAACTTTTTTTTTTCTTTAATTTGTTAATGTTAGGTTACTTTTGCTGCTGTGCCTCAGAACCAAGTAGAAGTTGATGAAGGTGGAGAACCTCCAAATCTCTCAGCTAAAACCCCTGACTGTCCTCAAAGCAGTGCCAGCAGCTCCCTGGATTCTCTTAGGGCTGATGCAGAATTAACAAGTAAGGCTCCCTTTGGGATAAGAGTCCCAAAGCTTGTGTTCTCCACCCTGTTAAAATATTATTAACCCCACCAATATTCCCCCTTTTTCCTTTCTGTTCTCTTTTCCCAGTCCAGCCCAGCAGTCATGTGGAGTCCCAGCTTCTCACAGACAGCATTTGTGAAGACAATTTATGGGAGGTATGTACAGAGGCTGGAAGACACCAACTTCTTGTCCTAACAGGAAAATACTGGTGTGTGTTATACACCAGTAACTGTTCTTGCTTGAAAAATGGGCTTATCTGTACGTTTTTCCCCAAATTTGCAGAAATTTCAGAGTGGTGCTGTCACAGTTGGGGAGTTTTTTACCCTTCTCCAAGTCCACGTTCTGGTCCAGAAGCCCCGGCAGAGCCACCTGCCAGCCAAGGTGAGTATCTCTCCTTTGACAGGAACAATATAATTGACCTTAAATTATATCCCTTTGTGGGTTTGGGTTTTAATTTTTAGCAACTCAAAGGACTTTATGTGAAAACCAGAAGATTTGTGTCTCCTCACCAAATACCATCTACTCAGGATTGCTGTTCTTGGATGAATGTGCTAATTCTTGCTTTTTTTAGATTCTTCTGAGGATGATAAATTTGAAAGTAAGAATTAGGAACTCAGTCTAATCTTTTCACTTTATCTTTTCGCTGTGTCCATCTACTGACTGCAGCTACTACTCTGCACTCCTACTACCTGTTGTATTCTCTCCTTTAGAAATGCTGCACCATGACATCACTGCTCTTTATTTCCTCCCCTGAAGAAAAGGGGAAGAAATAAAGAAGTTTGACTTCTAAATCTCTTCTGTTTTTATTTAAACTGCTGTCCCAGCTTAGTCGCAGTTGACTTTACAGATTTATTCATACTGAGCTGTCTCTAAATATTCATCAGGCTTAATAACTCTGCTACTGTGCATTAGTGACTGATGAAAACCAGACACCACCCCCCCAAAAGCCCCTGAAAACTTTCTCTGAAGGGGTGGAATTAATTAATGTCAGTTATTTATGAGCTTTACTATATGGCCATCTTAGGCTGAAATACCCCCCTCATATTTGTTTGTGGAATAAAGCTCAATAAGGCTTTATTCTGGGAACTTTGATTCTGAATTAAGCATAGCCAGCTTGTTTTATTGTGGAGCACTCTTGCTACCTGCATAACACACAGATGTTTTTAAAGCCTTCATCTGAAAGGGAGTGAACCTCTTTCAACATTTAATTAATTCTTTTGAGCTCTGGTGATGAGACACATGTCCCAAAAGGAAGCGTGAGGAAACACAAGGCATGAAAACGAAAACGAGTTGATTGGAAGTTACTATTTCTGAAAAATATGGGGTTTTTTCCCCCTTTTCTTCCCTGTTTTCCCCAGCGTGCAGTGAGTGCACCTCCTACCCCAGAGGATCTCATCTACAGCCAGCACATTCACCGGCCCAAGCTGCGGATTTACAAGGAGGATTGCCAGGCCCTGTCTCAGAAAATAGATGAGTGAGTGCTTTTCCAGTCACACACTGTGTCAGTAATTTCATTTCTTCGCCACTGGTTGCATGCAAATGCCCTGAAGAAAACTTCATACGTTACATACAGGGAAAATAAAAACACATTTAACCTTCTTTATGCCGGTGGAAGTTTTATTACAGATTTAGAAATTAATTGTATAAATACCAATGTGCTGCTCTGTGTGACTAATGCAATTGCAACAAGGCTTACAACTTTTTTTTTTTTCCATATTTCAGGTTAAAAACATATACCAACGTCCAGGATCAACTCCTGGTGAATGTGAACAGGAGCCTGTGGGAAGTAATGAGAACCTGCTCTGATGAAGAGGTAATGCTGCATGGAGAGGGAATGCTTACACGTGATGAACAAGTGGTTGATTTATGTATTTCCAATAAAATAAGAACCAGAATGGTCACAAAATCGCAGCAGGTGAAACAAGGCAAAATATTTTCTGAATGGAAAACTTCTAAGAATTTCCAGCATGTCAGAAGAATACAAGGATATGTGTCCTTTAATATATTTTAAAGGGGAAAAAATTACCCAAAATTATTTGCATTTAAAACCCAGAAGCATTATAAAAGTGTCCCACTAGAACTGAGAAGGTAGATCAAGAGATACTGTTTTCTGTGGTTCTAATGCCAAGGATAAACAAGAATAAAGATCTAGTCCATTGCCAAGGATAAACAAGAATTAAGATCTAGTCCATGAAAATAAAGAGTCAAAACTGATCAAAGACAGAATTTTTCATAATTCATATTTAGATATAGGATATCACTACAGTTTAGTTGTGAACTAGAGTCAGGAAAGGTTATATTCCCATTCACTTTCTCTTCTTTATTTCCCTCTGACTGCAGCTGAAGAACTTTGGAGCTGAACTGAACAAAATGAAATCCTATTTCACCAAGGAGAGTAAAATCTTGGCTCACAACGAGAAGGAGACATTGTACAGCAAACTGGTGCAGAGTGCCCAGGTAAGGAGCCACAGCTCTGCAGAGATTTGGCTTTAAAAAAGGAACTTCTGCCATATTTCTTGTCTTTAACTTCGTGGGAGCTTAATTATTTTGGTATGCATTCTCCTGGAAGTTTCATCCTTTTAAATGCATTTCCCTTCTATTCATATGCAAATTGGATGATCTTTAGGGTCCTTTCCAACCCAACCCGTGCAGGGATTCTCTGGTAAGTAACAAGGAAATGACACAAGTAATGCATTGGGACAGGATCAGAAATTTGTATCTATTAAAGCTCTAGGAATTCATTTATTTCCATGTCTTATCCCTCATTAGGGAGATACAAGTAAGTATTTAGTACTTGCTTACACATGGCCACTGCCACTGTCTGTTGCCTCTTCCCTCTAATGACAGATTCTATCAGCTTCTTTAATTAATGAGCAAACAAAGAGCCACGTGGTCGTCCCAGAAGAAAATTCAGCTTGTTAAAAAATGTCACTGACTCAAGTACAACTTTCCCATCTTAGGAACAACATGGAAAGCTCCAGGCAAGAACAGAAAAGGTGGATGAGCTGCTGAAGGAGGCAGAGAGCTGCCTGGTTGCTCTGGAATCAGGTATGAGTTTCCAAACAGATGACTTATATTCTAATTTCTACTTTTTTCTTCAGAGCTGCTGTTCAAAAGGTCAGTTCAGGGTTCTGTGTTTGTAGTTGTTTGACACAAGCTGCTGTCAGAACTTGGCATTGCTGCGTAACAATGCTCTGTATTTTCAATTCTTTTCTTCCAGTGCCTTAAGTAGAAATCACATTGCACAGTAGCAGCTTTGAAACAATGCAGTAAAAGGAGCTTTCCCTGTTATTACCACTTTTTGAGGGTTTTTTGTAGATACTTTTCCATATTTTTGTACATTTTTCTTAGTCACCCTTGAAATACTGAGATTTCTAGAGCCCACAGACAAAATAGACTCTTAAGTATTGAATCTGGGAGTTCTGCACAGACCTAATATTTCTTTCCCCTAGATTCTTTCTGGGATGAAGGGGATGAAGTGGAAGGAGGGCAGAGCCTACAGAAAGGTAACAGAACCAGCTGAATGCACTTTTTGTTTGGTACTTTAAATTCTGGAGAGGATGATACTGAACCCCTCATCCTGATGTGTCAGCTCTGAAAGAGATGCAAACACTGCTGTATTTTCTGCATTGCATGTAGCTAATTATACAGATGCTAATGGATGCAAATGCCTGTTTTTCCCCTGGAAACATGGAATTTAGAACTTGCTACAGTGTGACTTGAGGAGTCATATTCAGCTGTCATATTCAGCACATTAATTGTTCAATGATTGCAACCTTTGACCCCTTATCCAGGCAGGGGTAACAGCCACCAAGTTGAGATCCTTCCTGTTTTTAAGAACAGTGAGTGCACAGCAGATTAGGGCTTTTTGTGCTGCTCCTTTCTCATATTTTTCCTTCTTTTCTCATTTTTTCCCTTTCTATTAGAACTGGAAAGCCTCAGAGCCCAAGAAGAGGAACTTCAGAGGTAAGATGTCAGAGGGGATGTCAAGGATATCACAGTATCACGTGCACACAAAGTTTTTAGAGGGTTGGTGTGTTTTTAACTACTGTGCCACATCCTGTGGGATTGGTTTGTCCTTGCAGAGAACTGTCAGAGATGGAGGCTGAGGATGAGCAGATGCTGGTTCAGATGGATGAGCTCAAGAAGGTTGAAAAGAGCTGCCGGGAAATCCTGGAGAAATATGAGTAAGGAAAACACCCTCGGGTTTATTTTTTATTAGCTATTTCTAGAGCCTCACATTTGTACATAAATGTGTTGGCTTTGTTTTTCCTTGTTATTTGATGTGGGAAATCCTGGGATGCCCATCTCCTTGCAGCCTAAGATAAGCAATAAAGACTTGGAGAACTTCCATGTGTTATTCCGCCAACAGCTTTGCCGTGGTGCTCTGTGTTCCAACATCCAACTCGCCCCCAATTCCAAAATTAACATTTATATAAAATGTATGGTATTATACTTGCATTCCCAAGAAATTTTTACATTCTGTTGGAATGTAAGAATCTGCTTGGAATTGGAAAATTCATTGGTATATTATGTGGTAAGAGCTGCAAGTGCATTTAATACTCTGATCTTTGTCCCTCAGGAAGTTGTTTGGGTTGGTTGGTTGAAACTTGGGGTGATGGTGGGTGGTTTTTTTCCCTTTTTCAGCTTCACTGAGTGGGAGATTGCAGAATGGAGTGAGCAGCAGGCAGTCTTTAATTTTCTTTATGATTCTGTGGAGCTCACAGTCGTGTTTGGACCCCCAATAGGTGAGTCACAACATGGGTAGGTCTATGTTTTATGAATTTGAAATGTTAGTTATAGAATAGAAACCTGAAATTTCCACATTTGTAAAGATCTGCTGAAAGGAAATACAAAATATACTCCACTGGGTAAGCTGAGATAGGTGGCATGGCTTTGGTTATGTTTTTCATATGAAAATTCAGAAAGGTAATGGATGGCTGTTTCTGCAGAGGAAGAGCTGTAACTCCAGAACTAAGTATGGAAATAACTGGGGTTTTTTTTTTTCCTTTCCTTCTCAGATGGTGATGATTTTGGTGTAGATCCTTCCAGAACCATCGTTAGCCTGAACTTTGAGTGCTTCCTGAACGGTGAGATATTCTTGGGTAGCTTGAAAGTAGCAGCCCTGCTAATCTCTTGTTGGGAAGACTCTAAATTTGGGCTTTACCTGCAAATGCTCTATGAAATGGCTTTTCAGAGGTTCCTGGCAATGTGGTTTTTTTTTTCTTTTGTGTTACAGTGGAACAAGCTCCACCCTCCTCGTGTTTAGTCCAAAGGCTCATCTTTCAGTTTATCAAAAGTCAGGGAAGCTGGCAGGAAAAGTGTCCCACGCTGTACTACTTGCCCCAGGTAACATTCCAGGGAACCTTATAAGACTCTGAAAAAAAAAAACCCTTAAATCTTTCCTGTCACAGAGAAAATAGGGCTGATCCTGAGAACCAAAGCACCTTCATGAAAGCTTCAGCAATGCAAGCCAAAATCTGCTTCAGGAATATTCTGAGGTGTGAGGGTAAATACCTGCCCCTGAAGGCAGGAGTCCTAAAAGCTGGAGTTTATTAAAAGCCTTTTTTTTTTTTTCTGCTATAAAAATAAAGAATTAAGCTGAAGGCCATTCCGCCTTCCTAAAGAATGTAGGTTTAAATTGCCAACCCAAACTTCTTCTGGGTTCCTGCCTGGCTGTGACAAGCCCACTGACAAAGCAGAAAGGAGAAACTTAAAGCAAAAAATGTACATTTGTTATACTTGTACAGTTTCATTTTTTTCCATCCAGACTCCATCCAGACTGAGATAGCAGTTAAACTACCCTTATTTTTTATACTTTCTAGCATAAACTGTGTTTTCAAGTGTCACGTAGTCACCACCTGGGTGTTGATGTGGTTCCTTTTCTGATTGCCCCCTCAGGTTCTCCATGACATCTCCTTGGTGGTGAATCGTTGCAAAATCTTGGGAGAAGAGGTGGAATTTCTGGAGAGATGGGGTGGAAAATTCAGTCTCCTGAAGACAGATATCAAAGAGACAGAGTGAGTAACTTCAGGTTTTCATGATGGGATTCTTGGGGCTGTGCAGGGCCAGCAGTTGGACTTTGATCCTCATGGGTCCCTTCCAACTCAGGATATTCCGTGATTCCGTAAGATGGGGTTCACAGCAGTCCTTCAGAGGCTGTTTGTGGATAATCAGGAACAAAACTGAAATATTTTCAAATTGGTTTTGTTGAAGTTGAGATTTTATGCTGCTGTTTTTAACAGCAATTTAATTTATTTCCATACACTTGAAGATATACATACAGACATACTATAGTATCCTAATGTGTGGAAGTGAAGCTGTTCATGGATCCAGCCACTTCCTGACTACCAGACAACCTCTCCTTCCTTGCTATTTTCCTGCTTGACTTGACTCTGAAATATTTAGGCCGAATTGTAGCAATGCAAAGGAAATAGAACCAAGAGTTTACCTGTAGCTTAGGGCTTTGTTTCTTTTAATCTTCTCTTTGCCTCAGCCAAGCAGAATCAGTCACAGAAGGATGGATGCAGTGAAGCTAAAGTTTACTTTCTTTACTTTTCATTTTCTCTTGCTACTTCCTGATTTTGTGTCATGTCCCAGTGGGGTAAGACAAATCCAGCTTCACCTCATCCTTCCATTATTCATGTATATATCTTTAATTAAGAAGTGTCCAATAATTAGCTTGCTCTGCCCACCTTGGTGCTGTTCCCAGAGGTTATTCTAATTTTGTAGTTCCCTTTGCAAGAGTGCCAAAAATCCCATGGGACTGGAGGCAAGTCAGTCCTACTTAAAACTTTGGAAAACTTTAACTACCTGGGAATATTTTATGCTAACTAGAAAACATATATTTTGTTATCAGTCTCTGTTATTCTCTCTTATTAGTCTCTGCTCTCCTGTAATTTTTGGATGGTTCTGTATTAACTTTTCCTGTGAGGGAAGCTGGGGCTTTGGATTCTGAGGTGTTGATAAAAAGTGCAAAGGGTCTCTTTATCTGATTTCTGCAGTTCCTGTGGGTCTGTGCTGGAACTCTTTGGAAGTTCCTGAGCTTTGCTGCATCAGTGACATCATTTATTCCCACTCCTGGCCCCAATTCCAAGGCGGAAGCAGCACATTTGGCTATTTTGCATGGATCTTTGTGTTTGTTCCACAGGGTGAAGCTTTTGTTCTCCGCTTCCGCAGCTTTTGCCAAGTTTGAGTTGACTCTGTCTCTCTCTCCCGACTATCCATCTGCTCCACTTCCCTTCAGTGTCCAAACCCACATCGGGAATATCGGGTGAGTTGGACAAGCACCTCTCCACATGACTTCATTCCACACTAGGGATGGGGAATTAAGCTCTCCAGATCCTCTCCAACACTTGTGATCCTTTCATCTTCCCCAGGAAGGAGGAAATTTCTGCTGTTCTCTCCAGTGTTCCAGTTGGTCACCACTATCTGCGGAGAATAGTCACTCTGATCCATCAGAATCTGCTGCAGGATCCCAGATGATCCTCTGGATGCATGGGCAAGACTGGAGCAGTCGGAGTGGGTAGTTTTTGAGTTTATTCTTGTGAGAATTCCAGCTGTCTCTCACCAGAATGGGAATGCTGTTATGCCCCCCAGCTCTAGTATTCCTGCCTATTTAGTATTCTTGTAGTTTGCACCAAGTATTCTACTTGGTGTAGGCCACGAGTTTTACAAAAGCAGAGGTGTCTGAAGAGGAGAAGGAAGAAATTCCTATGTCCTTTGTAAATCCAAGCTGCCTTTCGTCTTCTCTCAGTCACTCCAGGGGATCGTGACCTCCTTGGAATGTCATTCCTAACATGGATATTCTTCTGCCATAGCCTGTTAATTTAGTTCTGGGGTGATTTACAAAGCTCTTGGACAAAGCAATGATGAGGATTCTCTAAATTAAGTGGACTGGAGTTTACTTTCACTGTCATAATTTCATTACCATGTACTAAATTGCAGATCCCACCAGGTCTGCTCTTTATTCATCTCCTGGAGCCTCTCCCAGTTCGGACACTATATCCCTGCATCTGATTCATTAACCAATTAACCTGTAGCAATTAACCTGTAGCAATTAACCATGTGGCCAAAGTCAGAAATATTTTTGGAATTAAGACAAAAAATCCCTGTGCTTGACCACCGACTTTGGGATGAAACAGCCCCAAAGCCGTTGGTGTGACTGAAGTTTGTTCTGAGGTTCAGTGTCAGTCCAGCGCAATCTCAGGATGCTGGTGCATTGTCCCAGTTTGGAATGCCTTGGAATTTTAGTAAGGAGACAGAGCTCCTTAAATTTAGGAGTACCTGTAAGATTTAGCTTGGGTTTGTGTATATCTTGTATATTATGTGGGTTTTGCTGTTGGATCTGGTCTCCCCCTGGCCAAGTTATGGAGCAGAAGCACCAACCCTGGCCCAGCTCTCCGTTCTCCTGCTGCAGATCTTCGTATCCTGTAAAATATGTTGAATTTAAGAATGTTTCCCTGTGTTTCGGTTTTTATCTATTTTGTGTTTTTATAAGTTTTCCTTCTGTTTGGAAGGTGGAAGTTCATTAAACGTTGGAATTAGCACCATTCCTGCTTCCAGTGGGGATTATTGGCTGCTGTATTTAAACCGCTGACTGCAAATTTGATACTAATATTGAAATAATTTTGTTAAATACTTCGGGAAGACTTTTCGTAATATGAAAGAAAAGGGGAGAAAAAGGGAAAAAGAAAAAAAAGTGGGGGGAAAGAAAAGGAAAAAAAAAAAGAGAGAAAATAAAATGGGGGGGAAAAAAAGATAATAGAAGAAAAGGAAGGGAAATTGGAAAGAAAGGCCTCGCTGCCCCACGGCTGGTCTCCATGAGCCCGTTCCATTCTCTTCCCGTCCCTTCCCCGCCCGTTCCCGGAGCCGTTTCCCGCGCGCGCTCCCGAGCGGGGCGGGGCCTCTGCGCGCGCAGGCGGGTGCGTCACGTGACGGGGCGGCGGGAGCGTCCGAACGGCCGGGACGGGACCGCGATCGGGACCGGGACCGGGATCGGCACCGGGGTGAGACGGGCGGGGCCCGCCGGGCGGTCGCGGGGCTCCCCCGGGGCCTCCCCGGTGCCGGGAGCGGCCGGTCCAGCGCCGGCCCAGGGCGGGCTGAGGGGAGCGGGGCGGGAGCGGAGGGGCCGTGAGGGGATCGAACAAAGGGCCGGGACCGGCTCGGCGGGGGGACACGGCGGGGACACCGGGGAGCCACAGACCGCGGGCTGGCACCGGGCAGGGGCTGCTGGCTCCGGGGGCAGCGGGAATCGCGGAGTCCCGGAAGGGTTGGGTGGGAAGGGACCTTAAAGATCATCCAGTCCCACCCCCGGCCACGGGCAGGGACACCTTCCACCAGCCCAGGTTGCTCCAAGCGCCGTCCAGCCTGGCCTTGGACACTTCCAGGGATGGGGCAGCCACAGCTTCTCTGGGCAACCTGTGCCAGGGCCTCAGCACCCTCACAGCCAGGAATTCCTTCCCATTATCCAGTGTAAATTTCTCCTCTGCCAGTTGGAATTCATTCCCCCGCTGTCCTGTCGTTACAATATCCAAACTGTGTGCTGTATCCAAAATGTGTGAGTTCCCTTATTTCCTTCAGTTTCCCGTGGCAGCTCGTGCCTCCCATCTTGCTCAGCATTCCCGAGGGTGGGATAGGTCCTCTGCAGGGTCTGGAGCCCCTTCCAGCCCTTCCCAAGGTGTTGGTGGCTGCCCCGAGGGCAGCTCTGGGGCACAGCCCAGCCACGACAGCTGGTGCCAGTTCGGAGGGCTTTTCCAGCCTGAATAATTCCATGATTCTGACTCGTGTGACCTCACGAGCTCTTCCTGAAACGGGATCCTGAGATGTTTGGTCCCTTCCAGGGGGTCCTGGCCCCTTGCTGCCATGGCCATGCAGATGCAGCTGGAGGCCAGCACGGACACGTCGGCAGAGGAGGAGAGCTTTGGGCCACAGCTCATATCCAGGCTGGAGGTAGGAGAGCACTTGCCTCTGGAGTAAGTTTTCCAGAGATCTGCTGGTCTTTTTCGTAGAATCCCAGACTGGTTTGGGTTGGGAGGGACTTTAAAGCCCCTCCAGTACCACCCCCCTGCCATGGGCAGGGACACCTTCCACTAGCCCAGGTTGCTCCAAGCCCCATCCAGCCTGGCCTTGGACACTTCCAGGGATGGGGCAGCCACAGCTTCTCTGGGCAACCTGTGCCAGGGCCTCCCCACCCTCACAGGGAAGAATTCCTTCACAATATCCCATCTAAACCTTTTTCTTTGAAAGCAAGGTGTATCTGAAGACTCTTGCTAAATTCTTACTTGTGTTCTGTCAAAAAAAAAAGACCAAAACAATCCAAAACAATCAAAATTTGTCCCTTTTCCCCCCTCCCTCCCAGCAATGTGGTATAAATGCCAACGATGTGAAGAAGCTGGAGGAGGCTGGATTTCACACTGTGGAGGCCGTGGCTTACGCACCAAAGAAGGAGCTGCTGAACATCAAAGGCATCAGCGAAGCCAAAGCTGACAAAATCCTGGTAAGGATGTTATGGAACACTGACCCAAGATATTCCACAAAGCTTCTTTCTACTGGCTTGAAGAGTTCTGGTGGATTTGGAAGGTCTCCAAAGGACAGTAAAGGTGTGACATGGGTTCTGATGAGAAGGGACAAAACCCACCAGGACGGAACTGAACTGGAAGGGTGGGGGGCAAGGGGAAGATATTTCCATAAAACACACAAAATGGATGTTGGAGCTTTTTCCTGGAGCACGGTTTCAGTGCTGTTCAGAGGTACCAACTAGTGCCCAGTCTGTAAAATAAAATGTGCGAGGAATGATACAGGTGCTTCTCCACAAAGCAGGAAATATTAATTACTGGGGGTTAATGAACAGGGTGAGCTCTCCTGGCACTGCTCTGTTTGGTTTTCCCTCAGGCTGAGGCAGCCAAACTGGTTCCCATGGGTTTCACCACGGCCACAGAATTCCACCAGCGGAGGTCAGAGATCATCCAGATCACCACTGGCTCCAAGGAACTGGACAAGCTGCTTCAGGGTAATCACTTTATTGCTCTTTACTGCTTAACCTCCATTACTGGGGTGGGCTTTTTACTGTGAACGTGATCCTTGCACAGAATCACACAGAACAAGTTGTGGTTAAGTGAAAAATCTCCTCAAGTCCTGCTCTTGTATAATTGATTTCATTTTAGAAGCTGCAGAAATAGTTTTTAAGCCTTTTAGTCACAATGCAAGATCCAGAGCTGTCCATTTTGGGATGTTTCTGGTTTATTCTAGTCCGTGACATATTTCAAGAAAGAAAAACTGGGTATCACCATCTCACCATTCTTCTGGTAATCTAAAAATAAACCAAATAATTTCAGCTCCACAGCATCTTCAAAAACACACCTCAGCTTTTTATCTATAACATGAACAAACCTCAGGATGACAATGAGTTTTCCCAATTAATTTTGAACCCTTTGGCCAAATTAAGTGTTTAACTGAGTCTGTAATTGCAATGTTTTTGCACGTGGTTTTTGTTTGTAATTTGTATTGTTATTTATTATTATTATTATTATTCTCTTCCCTTCAGGAGGAATAGAAACAGGGTCCATAACAGAGTTATTTGGGGAGTTTCGTACTGGGAAGACGCAGCTGTGTCACACACTGGCAGTCACCTGTCAGGTGAGTGGGTCACATCATTACAGTCCAATGTACAGACACCACAGCATTTGGGAATTTGCTAATTTGGGCACTTTTCTTGGCTTTCTAAGTGTTTATTGCTTTCTAGAGGTTGCTGTTTGTTACAGCCTGGTCCAGAAGCTCCAAGCTTTAGCAGGTGTACTCTTTAATTTCAGACTTCAAGAGATTTTAGTGTTCCATAAAATATTAGAGGCTTGGACTTAATTTGGTAATTTAGTTGACTCCCTGAACTTACCAGCTCAAAGTTGAGCACCTGCCCTCTTATGTGGAATCATGGAATCCTGAAATGGTTTGGGTTGGAAGGGACCTCAAAGCCCATCCACTTCCATGGGCAGGGACACCTTCCACTAGCCCAGGTTGCTCCAAGCCTTGTCCAACCTGGCCTTGGACACTCCCAGGGCTGGGGCAGCCACAGCTTCTCTGGGCAACCTGTGCCAGGGCCTCCCCACCCTCACAGGGAAGAATTCCTTCCCAATATCCAATCTATCCCTCCCCCTTGTCCAGGCACTCCAGGGTTCCAGAAGGAAGGTGTTGGAGATCAGAACCAGTAATCTTTCCTTTTGTTTTTCCCAGCTAAGTGGGACTTTACTCACAGTAACTTGGGATGTTACCTATGGTGTTATGTATGATATCAGTGAGGGCATAAGGCCACCTCTGGTGTGTTTATGGACACTTCATTCCATGTTCCTTCATTCCCTTCTCCTTTAGCTCCCCATTGACCGCGGTGGTGGAGAGGGAAAAGCCATGTACATCGACACAGAGGGGACCTTCCGTCCGGAGCGGCTCCTGGCTGTGGCTGAAAGGTCTGTGAGGGGAAGAAAGGAATATATCTCCTCACAGCTTAGCTGGAAGACATTTTACACAGGCCCTGGAGGTTGACTTGACAGATGTTCACTCTGGAAACATCTGGTGTTGCTGTTCCTTTCCCGCCTCTGCCGCTCTCTCCCCACAGCTCTCGTGTCGTTGTCCCTCAGCAGGAAGTGATTTCCCTCACTTTTTGCTACTGGAAGGGCATGTGAGCTTCCCAAGCAGCTGGGGACAGTACCAGATCCTGCCAGCTACCTTGGAAGGGAATTTGGTCTAATCCTGCTGGCTTTTCCTGCAGCAAGGAGTGCTCCCACCGGTGGATATTTGGCAACAAACACCTCTGGATGACACTGATAACACTTGATACTGATGAGAAAGGGAAATGATGTTTGCAGCAGTCATAGGTGTGTGTGCTGGCTGTATACAGAGAGTACTTGGAATAATGGAATTGTTCAGGTTGGAAAAGCCCTCTATGATCCAACCACTCCTCAGCACTGCCAAGGCCACCACTAACCCATGTCCCCAAGTGCCACATCCACAGGGCTTTAAATCCCTCCAGGGATGGGGACTCCTCCACTGCCCTGGGGAGCCTGTGCCAGGGCTGGGCAGCCTTTCCATTAATAAATGTCCCAATATCCAGCCTGAACCTCCCCTGGTATCACTTGAAGCTGTTTCCTCTCATCCTTTTACAATGGTTCCAATTATTCTGTTCTCTTTCCATCCCCACGTGTTGCATTTTTTCCCTCTGTTTTTATCTCTCCCAGGAACGTGAGTTTTTATTCCAGCCTTTAGGCAAAGCTGCAGGATAGCTCCTATGGAGGAAGTTGTCACTTAGAGGTTTCTATCTTTTATTTCCCCTGGTGTTTCCCCAGGTATGGCCTGTCTGGCAGCGACGTCCTGGACAACGTGGCCTATGCCCGGGGCTTCAACACCGACCACCAGACCCAGCTGCTGTATCAGGCCTCGGCCATGATGGCTGAGTCACGGTAAGAACTCTGATGGCGTGGATCCTGTTCCCAAATTGGGTTATCCTTAGGCTTATCCAGGTGACAAGCTCTGTGGGCAGTCAGTGATCAGCAACACCTCTGGCTGCTGGAATTCGGGGCGACTGGCTTGGCCCGATGTCACTGTACA